ATAGTATTCTGTTTTGTGGTCGTTTTCTTGTAGAAAGCAATATAGTATTCTGTTTTGTGGTCGTTTTCTTGAAGAAAGCAATATAGTATTCTGTTTTGTGGTCGTTTTCTTGTAGAAAGCAATATAGTATTCTGTTTTGTGGTCGTTTTCTTGAAGAAAGCAATATAGTATTCTGTTTTGTGGTCGTTTTCTTGTAGAAAGCAATATAGTACTCTGTTTTGTAGTCTTTCTCTTGTAGAAAACAATACAATGTACACAATGTACATTAAAGTTGTGCCTCAAAACGTCCTAACTGTTTTCTCGCTCGGGAGAGAGTTTGGAGGTCAGCCCCGAATCAAACCAACATTTCACGGTACAGCGAGATCAAAGCGAGCCCAGAATGACTTCCCCATTGGTCCCCACACACACCACGGCATGAACGGAAGACAATCGATAGCGAGATCTCTATCGGACTTTTTGCAAAGAGTCAAACGAAATTGGAGCAGACGCGTTTAGAACGTATTTATCGTGGCAATATTTGATGGAACTTTCACGGTAGTTTTTTAATTTGTTGGTTTTGGGGGAGGGGGGGGTAAGTGTTTTACGCAGGGCACATGCAACTGCATAAGTTCATATGAGCATGCGGGACTCATTACACATTTTCAGTTGGAAGGAAATTTTGAATTTTGAACTGGTGGTGGCCGAAGCCTACTCTTATCGATTTTAGACCACCATAGGATCTTTAACGTGCGCAACGTACACGAGGGACCTCCGAGACTTTCACGTTATTTTCGAGAAGAATTCTTGTAGGTTCGCTAAATGGTCCATATTACACACAGTTAGGATTGATTGTCGGTTTTTTTCGCTCCCTACAGAGCTATACCCTTCCTTTTCATCCACAGGCTTTGGTCCAATAGTAATTGTCCTGTTCTGTCGCAGTTTTGATTGGACAAATATGAACTGCAACTTGTTGGCCAGCGATTGAATTCTCAATATTCGAAGCTTCGAACAAGATAATCGATCTGTTTACGTTGCTGGTGCTCTCAGTTCAGTCAGTTTGGGAGTTGGAGGAACGAGCAAAGGACAAGGGTTTGATCATTATGTTACTAGAGCTCGGAAACTTCACATACTTACCTACCTACCTACCTACCTACCTACCTACCTACCTACCTACCTACCTACCTAC